AAATCTAATTTATAGTTTCCAAATGAATGCCACGTAAGTCATATCGTCAGATATGTCATCAAATTCTTCCAATTTTACAAGCGTCGTTTATGTAGGAATGGATGAGGCACCAATTTTCAAAGATAAGTGACTTACGGGGGACAACTTTTAAATTTAGTTACTTGGTGAGAACTTTAGGAAAAGTTCAGTGACCATATAGGAAATTATGATAGCCCAAGAATAATTAACTAAGAGATGATGAATTGGTTTTTAAAATATTTTCGACTAATTAATCTAAATTCAAGTAATTAAAAACTAAATAAATTAATTCAAATAATAAGTACAAATATAAAAGCGATAAGTAAAATGGAGAGATGATGCAAACGATATAATTGTGGAGATTCGATCGAAAGTAATGATTTACATCCTCCGTTACCAAGCTCTCCGGCACGATCAATGCTTTTTCGCAAGCGTACGAGTTCGTTGTACAAGTAATAATTGTGATAAGTGAGTTATCGTCCCACGAGGAATAAGGTTAATTTTAATATATTCGATATATTTAAATTCGCAAGTGTAACAAAAGATAGTTGGTTTGAATTTAACTACGTTTTATAACTACGAAATCAATAAAAAAATGTATTTAAATCAAATGTGGGGGAGTGTATTGGATTTCCGACTCCGCTAATTAATTCTTAGTTTCAATTCTCAACCAATTATAATTAATTCAATTCATGCAATTACGACGATCGATAATTCCACTTTCATTTACTATTCTTTCCCAAGATATAATAAACCTATGATTGCCACGAGACGATCCTATTCCTAGTCCGAATTCATATGACAAGCATGCATTGATGTTTAGGATTATCAAACATGACCGCACACGCCATAAATATTATTCCTAATATTTATTGTCCGTGTGTTCCATAAACAGTGTTCTACCTACCGTGAGTTTTCCAACACTACGAATAAGCAACTAATTGTCATAATGGTGCGCAAACATTAAAAACAATAAATTCATATATGTTTATGAAATCACAATGCAAGAATTAAATTAAAAACACATGATATCGAATTAAAAACTAAAAATTAATTAGCTTCATCATCCATCCAATATAAGAGAATTTAGCCTAGCATATTGTAGAAATTAAATTACACAAGAATAATTGGAAAAATATCACCCGGAAATAAGAAAGATGGAAGAAGTTGGAAAAATCCACGTTCTTGATGTGAAACTTGAATCCGGATGAAGAATTTTCAATATCCTATGCAATTCGCCTTGATTCCACGTTGTTAGCCACGTTCTTCGCCTCCAAAATATGTATAATATAGAGATTTTTAGGTCTAGGGAGGTTCTCCATATGTATTCTGCTGTTCTCTCTTTATAGGAGCCGAAAATTGGTTGAAAATCACGTCCAAATTGGTTTCCAAAAGAGTTCTAATCGAATAAGGAAAGTTGCCTTCGCGCGCGGATTTTTTGTCTCTGCACAGCAGTCCGTATTTTAGTCATAACTTTCTCTTCTGATATCCGATTGATGCGATTCAAAGTGCGTTGGAAAGATAACTTAAAGGGCTACAACTTTGATTGAAATAGAGTTTTTCCAATTCGGACGTTTACTATGCCAAAAATGGGTCTCAATATTCGGCTAAAAATCTGGAATATATCTTGAGCGATTGGAAATTGATTTTGATAATACTTTGATCATGTTCCATTCCTTTTTGAATTCTAATTTCAATCCAATTGTCTCCTAGCAATCTTCAAAGTATCTTCTTGAGTATTTGTAATTTGATCCTCGAACTTTGGATTTTACCATTTTTCACCATATTTTGCTTCTGTTCTCCAATCCTTCATCAAACATAAAGTTTTACCTACACAATGCAATATAACATAAATTATGTAAAATTTTGTCAAAAAATCAATAAAATTCTATAGTTTTAAGCCCCGAATAAGTGTCGAAAATACACTTATCACAACGCTTCCGGGACTTACAAAGTAATTATCTACGTCCAAAGTAATGATTTACATCCTCCGTTATCCAAGCTTTTACAACGCTTTCGGTTACTTACAAAGATGAACACTTATTCTTATACAATGTTAAATTTTACAAGACTTCAACACTACCCACTATAGAGCTTTCACGGGATCTTAATATGGCCCACACTATTGAGCTTTACGGGATCTCAATGTGACCCACACAGTGACTTACAACAAGGAGCATCGATCTTTATTCAATGTTGATCTTTACGGTACTTCAATACGGTCCACACTTTATCAAAGTGATTTTACAATGAAATTCCTCTCTTGATAAATAATACAAACAAGTTAAGTACTAAGAGAGGCTAACACTTCAATGAATAGTAATAAATGATAGTTCAAGTGTTAGATAAAAACTTTGATAAATATGATAATTAAAAATTAGATTCAATCAATTAAAGTGTTTTAATGAGAGGATGAAGAAGAAATAAATGCAATGTATGTTCAAAAATCTTCTCAAGATATATCTTTCTTTTAATGAATAATTGTAATAATTTAAGTATTAAGAGATCAATGAGAAACTCTAATGAATATGATGATTTTACAAGTTTGATTAATTAATCAAAGTTTTAATATTAAGAAGTAAAAAAAGTATGTAATGTAAGTACAAAGATTTTCTTCAAAAATATATCCATCTTTTAAGATTGATATAAATAAGTTACGCACAAAAAGAAATTTAAAACTTTGATAAGAGAAATAATTCAAAAAATTTGAATCAACAATCAAAGTTTTTACTATAAAAAAATGAAATAATGTAAAAATGTAAACTCAAAGAAGATTTTTCACAAATATATTTTACAAGAAAGCTCTCTTTTAGTTATTTAATCAATATAAAGTGAAATGGTATTTATCGTAGCTAAAAAAGCCAAAAAATCTGTCTAATCGGACGTCTGCATCTTGAACCAAACAACCAAACTAACCGTTGTGCATCAGAAATCAGAACGATTAAAACAATAACCATTGGGCAAATCGGACATCCGATTGGGCCAGAAATTTCCTGAATTTTTCTTTCTTAATTGTTTTGAAAAATGTAATCTTTTGAAAGACGTTTCCTCTTTAACTTTTCAAGGTAAGTGACATTCTAAACAAATTTAAATATTAAGTTGAAATTCTTACCTTTTTTTAAGAATAATTTTTTTGTAAGAGTTTTTATGAAATAATCTTTTCGTGCATAAAACAATTTTTGAGTTTCTATCATTCATTGCTAAATATCAAAGTATGAGTACCTTATTATTTGAACTAAAAAATATAATCTTTGATCTTGCTTCGAAGTTTGCAGCTTAGACTTTTCGTCTTGATTTTTGTTTGATGTTGTCTCTCGTACTTTTGATCTTGATCTTTTTTGGCGTTTATATTTTAAGTTCTCGGCCCGAATGATTTGACTTGAATACTTAATTTCCACTTTGATCTTCATTTCGTGATCGATTTATAATATGTTGATTTTGGCAATGCTTGATGAATTTTTAACATTGAACTATGATCACTCAAAATCAACTGTTAAAAATAATATTAACCTTATTTGTTATGATCAAAACATTAAAAATGAAATCAGCCATAGGTCAACAAATTAATCACATAGTTGAAACTAATGATTTTATTAGTGATATTACGTATCATTGCATACACACGATTTATATAATTTATGCCATTGTTTGCTTATGCAGATATTTTATTTGGATTAATTTATTTTTACAACGTTGAATGACAACATTGTTGACAATGTTGTAGGTGGCAAAAAATTGTTAATTGAAAAAATAAGTTTTTTTTAAAACTGTCCAAGTATGATTCATTTTATTTTGTGTGACATATTATTGCTATTTGATTTTTTTGCATTTTACCCATAAGTTTTTAATGAAGTAGAAATATAAAATATGGGCATGAATTTTTTGGTATATCTCATGTTATGAGCAAGTTATTTGGGTCAGCCTGGGACTTCAACATATTCTGAAGTTGAAATTAGCATCTTCATAAACCATATTATGTTGAAATATTTTTAAACATAATATGTTGAAATATTTTTAAAAATACATATTATGTTTAAAAATACATATTATGTTGAAATATTTTTAAAGTTAGCATCTTCATAAACCATATTTCAAGTTTCATATTTCAAAATTCATATTATAATTAAGAATTAATATTGTATTAAATAAATATATTACTAATTAAATCAACCTACCCCCAAATCATTCTCTTTCACCTCTCTCTCTCTCTCTCTCTCTCTCTCTATTCACCCATTTTGATCTCTTCCCCGATGAAACTACCCACCTCGGTAGCACTGTGCGAGCCCCTGCAATGATGATGCCGCCACAGTGGAAGGAGTGTCTCTACAACAATGGCATCTCTCATTTTTCTTTATATCGCCCATTTTGGATCTGTCCACGGTGACTTACTACCTACTGCTGCAGCACTATGAGAACACTGCTACGGTAGATGTGGAGCCGCTACGGTGCTGATCTGAGGATAGTAGCGTTCTACCACGCTTTCCTATGAGGCGCTGATCTGCACGTCATTATGCAATGTTCTAGGGGTGGTTGGTTGGCAATGGCTTTATTGGATTTGGCGGTGGTAGTGATTTTATTGGATCTAGTAGTATTTGTTATGCTTTGCCACCTAGGCTCCCACGTGGCTCAGCTGACCTATCGAAACACTTTCTGTCGAAGCCATGTAGCATCCCACATATAGTAAGACCTACCAGAGTCCAAACAATGTCGACCCAACGAAGTCGACTCATATCGAAACAACTCATGAGGCTAGCCCCTTCCGAAGCCCCTATGATGAAGACATATGAGGTCCAAACGAAACTTCTTTGCCGAAATAGCGAGATTCGACGAAGTAGAAT